AACTTCTCTCTTTCAATTCTTCCTCCTCTAATATTTCTTCGAATTCTCGATTAAAAATAGTCGAAACTTCCTGTCTGGACCTATCTACATTGCCTCTTCCGTTACTATTATTTCCTGGTCTATTTTCCCTCCAATTATTATTATTATTCGGACGATTATTGTTTTCTCTATTACTTACATTTGACACTCGACCTTGGTGAGTCAATTCAATACCCTCTTCTACCCTGTCTATTCTACGCAACTGACCCTCAACATCGTCTATATTTTTATATCCCGAATTTATAATTCCACGACGGACATCCGGCGAAAAATGATTAATAATCATATCAATCAATTCAGCATCGTCTAATGACTGTTTCAAATACTTTGCTTCTCGGACCATTTACAAAAAGTAATCGGCACGCGACCCTCTGGTATATTCACCAAATTTAATTTCCGCGAAAGTTTCTCGTTCTTTTTCAATACTCCAATATCTATTGATAAACTGATCCCTAAAATCCGCAAAACTCGAAAACTCTTTCAACTCGGACCAATCTTGCGCAGACGCTCTCAAGCACTGTAAAGAAAAATAAACTTTTTTCTCGGCAGGGACGCCAACCTCTCCCAACAAACTCTCTAATTTATTAACAAAATAAACGGGGTGAATTCCCCCATTTGGTGCAAAATGCAAATTTGGTCCCCCCAAATATTTCCACATCGTAATATAACTTCGGCTTCTATCATTTCTATCCGAATTCACATGAAATTCATCAGAACTTTTACCCTCATCAACTCTATTACCACTCGGAAGTAGATTTTGTGATTTCGATTGGGTAACCTGAATAACATCTGCTAAACCTAGTATATTATCATTCATAGAAGACATATTTTTGTCAATAGTAGATGCAACACTAGATACTATTTGATTAAGACTAACCGACAAGGTTTCATTAAGTTTGGTTGTCAAATTTTTGAAGGATTGGTTTAAACATTGAGTTAAAACATCAACTGAACCCAAACCTTCTCCTATCGTTGTTATATCAGAATCACCCGACATATTATGGGGATCCTGCAATTTATCCTTTGTTTTTTTCGGAGGCATTATGATACAGATGTATAAAATAAATGAATTTGGTTCGGTAGACACAAAATAATTTCAAGAACAGCCCCACGTTGGGCGCCAAATGTAATATTTCGTTAGTTGAGACTCTTATGAAATAAATGAAAAACAATCTGAGGGGTGGTTACTGCCTTAACTTTATTTTGTTCTACCAACATAATACCTATTCGAATAATTATCCTAACTACTCAATGTTCAAGCAACGTCAACAATTAGTAAGTATGCAACCCTAAAGTCACTGTCTATCAAGTTAATTCGTTGATTACGAATTGTTTAGGCAACGAAAACAAACTGTTCATACGCGAACCGCGAGCTAGCTAAAACATCCGTAAAACGAAACACACCGGATGTATAATACCTTTATTCCCGCGATGACTCAACGTAAGCACCTACGCCGGTTCTTTGGCGTTGGCGGCTTCTTCAATGGTTAATAGCGTGGTTTATGTACTTGCCGCTAACCAACAGGCCAAACAGCAACTCAGCATCCCTCGTTCTCCTGCTTCGCGAGTTCCGCGACTGTGTTCGCGTACTGGACTTTGCCACAGTAGATCACTTTTTACAGGGTATAGGTAAATCCCTACACAATTGATTGGCACACAAACCAAAACGTTGAACACACCCCGAATCGGGGTTGAGAGCCAAACAAGCCGGGCGCATTCCTCGCGTCAGCCCTTACTCAAAACTCTCGCATATCTGACCTTGTCGCTTCTGGCGATCGATTCTCCTTCCACCTGTCCCCGTTGACCCCGTTTTTAACCCTCTTCCATCGCTCAGCAACCGCGTCGCTCGCATCACACACATACACATGCGCAGATACCATTTGTCTAACATTAGCAAAAGGGCTTATGCCACCACATTAGTAAGGGAGCATGCTACATCTGTTAGGCTTTGCGTCAACTATTTGGAACCCCCACTATATAATATACATGAAACAAATAGAAAGTATCCAGAACAAATTCATTTATTATGTCAACAGAAAATATTTCGATAACACTCCACAATATCACTTCGTACATCAAGAACTCAATTTGATCAGTCTTGCTGACAGAAGAGCTATTGCCGACATCAAATTTTCTTTCAAAATTATAAATGGTATCATTCATTCTCCATCCATCAATAACTTGATTTATTACAATATTCCTCAATATTCCACCCGCCATTATAATCTGTTCCATACATCCATACCAAACACAAATTACTATTTGAATTCCCCTTTACATCGATGCTTGAAAAGTTATAACTCTATTTCAAACATAATAGAGATTGATATTTTTTCTGACTCTTTAACTACCTTTGTGAACAAACTTAAGAAACACTTTGTACTATCGCCTAATTGATATGTTCAGTATTTTTTTCATATACATATAAAATATTTCTACTGTATTGTATTGAATTGCAACATGACATATTTAGTAGTATATATGTGAATACTGTTTCTGGGTTCGTCCCGTTTGTATTCCTGTTTGTGAAAATAAAAAAATAAATAAATAAAAATATACTTATAGACCTGATCAACCAAACTCGAATCAAAACTATCGATTGAATCAACACCGAAATTTCAGACAAAAAACAGGCCAAAGTACATTGCTGAAGAATTGTTTGATGTAGATAATCAACCCATAGTCCAACACCCTGTAGAAGCAGATCAGGATGAAAATTTTTCAGAGGAAGCAGCCTCGGAAATGTTGAACTGAATTATTTTGAACTAATAAATCTAACTAATAATAGAAGTGAACTTTCATTCATAGTGTTTCCAGAAAATAATTTAAAATTTTTGATCGATATACTGATGGTAGTACAAAATGATTTATAAGACCCGATATTGTCGAAATTCATTTCAAATCCTGAATGAAAAATGATCCTTTCCAAATAACAACCTAACACGGTACATCAACTGAACTATATATAGTACATTGATTCCTTGTTCAAAAATACTCAATAAATTTAATTAACCCCTAAGTTTCACCTATTTAAGTTTCATGACCATTTTGACTGTCTGCTAGGGCTCGACAATTTGAAATTGTTAAATACTGTTATTGATTTGAATGAAAATGTGTTGATTACTTCACATTACGAAATGAAACTTAATTTTCATGAAGTATATCTTCCTGTACGAAATGTATAGTAGTACCTCCGAGATCGGAACAAATAATCAAAGTTAATATTAGGAATATTGCCAATGGTCAAGCAATTATACCCTATATGGAGATTTCACAATAAGAAATACCAGAATGTTTGACTATTGTCAAAAATAATCAAGCGATTTGCTGAATATCTAATCTATCAAATTCTCAATGATTAATAATTGACATGACTGAACCAATAGACGCCGAAATGTTCGATGAATACAGATGAATACGAACCCTCTTCTTGTCCAAATTTCAATAACGCCAATTTAGAAAAATTTCATATTGCTGCTCAGACATTGTTAAGTCGTTCTGGTGTTCAGAAGAGCATAAAAGGATGTCAGCTGAAATCGACCGACGCGGCCTGACAAGACAATTTTTTTCAATGTATATATAAGTGAAAGTGCATGATTTACTCCAATTAGTTATTAATGTATCGATAAACTCACAGAGTGGGAACATTTGCTATAACGGCAAAAGGATAAAACACCAAAAGCTAGAAAAATTATTCAATTTGTTACAAAAATCTCGTGAAACAATATATGTACAAGAAAGGGGGCTAAAAATAAGGTGAAGAGAGTGCGGACGCATTGAGAAGGCTGCCAAGAGATGCCTTCTATGTGCATATCGAATGAAACCCACTCCAACAATAATTTGATTCAGATATGTTCATGAGTTCAAAAATCACATACGTTCATTTGAGCGCAGCGAATTCAGATCTAATGGAGATTTGAATGCATCGTCGGTCGTTTTCGCTTGACACGGCTCGAACTGAAACTTGCTGTCGGTTAAAAATCACTGCCAAGCACCGTTTTTATAAGTCACCGTCGGTCACATATGACTGACAAAGCCTGTAATTGAGAGAAAAACAGGGTCTTGGCAGCCCAGAGTATTAATACGCGAATTCAAAACATATAAGATCAAAATTAATAAAGCCGTCTCACTCGCCATGGTCATCTCCTTTTTGGATGGGGCCAAAAAAGTTAGGCGCTTCTGGTAAAAATAAATGGCGAATCGCTGTGGATTATCGAAAACTCAACGATAAAACTATTGGTGACCAATATCCGCTGCCAAATATAACCGAACTACTGGATAAAGTTGGCAGATGCCAATACTTTTCGACGCTTGATTTGGCTTCAGCGTTTCACCAAATTGAAATGGCTGAATATGATATCCAAAAAACCACCTTCAACACTGGTAACGGTCATTACGAATTCCATCGAATGCCATTTGGCCTAAAAAATGCATCAGCCACATTCCAGAGGTTTATGTGGATAATATTGTGCGAGGAATACAGAACGAAAAATGTCTTGTATACCTCGATGATATCATTTTCAGTACGAGCTTCCAAGAACACATCACTCGCTTGCGAGAGGTATTCGAGAGACTACGAAATTCCAACTTCAAAATACAGCTGGATAAGTCAGAATTTCCAAGGAAAGAAGTGGCTTATCTTGGCCATGTTGTGACCCCTGAAGGTGTTCGACCTAATCCTGATAAAATCAGTGCTATTCAAAATTACCCACTACCGAAAAATACCAAACAAATTGAAGGCTTTTTAGGACTATTATAGGGTACTAAGACATATAGTAATTTCACGGTTGCAGTGAGACTGTATTGTATCTGTGATTATTTGTTGTTGTTCGCATCAATATCCGACTGATTAAGTGTTCCTGTAGTTTAAAATATTTCAAGAGGATGCACATGTTTGTGGCATTGAAGGTTTTATTGGATTTGCTGTTTATAGTTTTTTAATCGAAATTTGAATCAGTGACATGCCAAAATTGAAAGATGAGAAAAGGAAAACGTCGAAATCCCCAAATTTCAAAATTTTCAGTGACAGTTCAGGAGTAAATAAGAAAAAATCGAACAGTGAAGATGATTCTCCGGCAGGAAATGTGCTTGAAGAATACTATCTACAGCCCTATCTTGAATACCAATGCCAAGTTTGTAGTAGATGCTTTGAAAAGAAGAGAGGTCTGAATATTCACATAAAAAAAATGCATCCTAAGTCCGATTCTAGTTCACCTCCAAAAATTTCTGATGCATCTATGAATCCGTGTGATTCTCTTCTTCCTGACAATGAATCTCCCTCTGGTCGTCTGAATTCCCGTTTATCCTTCAAGAAATTCAACTCACGCATTGCCAAAAGGATACCGAAATCAGCTAGACCGTGTGCCGCCGAAGCTTTGAAAAATGCTATAGACAACTGTATCGTTTTCAACTCTTTTGATGCGTGGGAAAGTCTACTGTTTTTCGCTTATAAATCTTTCAGTCTACAACCACAACACAAAAATCGTAAAGAATCTCTCACGACCATCATCAAAAGGAATATTAGTAGTCCCTCTGCCTCACAAAGTATTCCAGGATATCATTCAGCACCAACACGAAAACCAAACATCACCAAATGTATCGTTGGTAAAGTGTCCGATGGTGATATCTCTTCGGCTATCCGAATTTTGACGTCCACTGACACTATTGCTCCTTTTGACGATCAAACTTTATCTGAGCTCCGTTCAAAACATCCAACTGACACAAAATTCGTATATACAGAGGGTGAACTATTCAATCCATTACAAGTGAATGAATTCGAAGTTTTGAATGCAGTCAAATCGTTTCGTACAGGATCCTCTGGTGGTCTGGATTCCTTGAGACCTTCGCACCTGCAAGATTTGTTATCCAAAAGTTCTGGATCGATGGGCGAGAATCTGTTACGTTCTTTGACTTCTCTTTGCAACTTGATACTTGCTGGTAAAGTCAATGATGATGTAATTCCAATACTGTACGGCGCTTCATTAGTAGCTCTGAAGAAAAAGGATGGTGGAATTAGACCAATCGCTGTCGGCACTATTTTTAGACGTCTTGTGGCAAAACTAGCTTGTTCAAAGATAAAAGAAACTTTAGGTAACTCATTCCGCCCTATACAGTTTGGATTTGGTACTCCTGGAGGATGTGAAGCCGTCGCTCACGCAGCCCGACTTTTTATGAATCAACATCCAGATCCGAATTCCACCGTATTTTTAAAAATGGACTTCCAGAATGCTTTCAATATGATCCACAGAAATATTTTGCTAGCTAGAGTCAAAGACGCAATCCCACATCTTTATCCCTTCATAAGTCAATGTTATCGAGAGCCTACCTATTTGAATTTTGGCAATGACGTCATTTTATCAGAAAGAGGTGTTCAGCAAGGAGACCCTTTAGGACCCGCCCTCTTCTGTTTGTGCATTGAACCTTTAACAAAATCCATCGTAGCTGATTTCAATTGCTGGTATCTTGACGATGGCTCTATAGGAGGTAACGTTGATTCCATTTTGGAACAATTCAGGAAAATTATTTCGTCTTCCGAAGAAATTGGCCTCAAATTAAATTTCGCGAAATGCGAACTGCTATTTCTGAATGAACATATAGACATCATAGCAAAAAAATTCAACAGTCTTGCTCCTGGTATGAAAATTGTAGAAAGGAACGATTGGAATCTTCTTGGTGCATCGATTTCGGATGAATCTCTAGCAGAATGTCTTGAGCAGAAAACAAACTCCCTGCTTCTGATGGCATCTCGGTTCAATATCATCCCTAACCATATCGCATATTTTCTCCTGAAGAACTGTTTAGCCATCCCGAAACTGATGTATACACTGAGATGCACTACTGGGCACTGTCAAGAGAAGCTAGACCTCTTTGATTCAACACTTCGCCTAATTTTAGAACAGATTACGAATAATAATTTCAGCGAATCATCATGGGTACAAGCATCACTTCCTGTGAATAAAGGTGGGTTGGGAATCCGAAGGGCATCTTCACTCACTTTGCCAGCTTTCCTTTCGTCTTTCAACAGCATTAAACATTTTGTAAAACAGATTCTACCAGATTCCTTTTTTGTTATTTCTGATCCTTTGTATACTGAATGCGAATCTATGTGGTGCTCGACTTCGAAAACATTGAAACCTGACAATAAATGTTCTCAGAAATCATGGGATCTTCCGTTGATTGATTTGTCATCCAATCATCTCCTTGACTCAGCTAAAAACTCCCCATTTGAAAAGGCTCGTCTCAAGGCAGTAAGCACAAAGGAATCTGGAGCATGGCTTAATGCACTTCCTGTTGCATTCCTTGGAACATTATTGGATGATGAATCTTTCAGGATATCTGTAGGCTTACGTCTAGGTTGTTCAATTTGTACAACACATAAATGCAGATGTGGATCTACCGTTAACGAAAAGGGAGTTCATGGTTTGAGCCGTAAATTCAGTGCAGGTCGTTTTCCTAGACACTATACTGTTAATGATCTGATTAGAAGAGCTTTGACAACTTCGGATATTCCAGCTATTTTGGAACCTTTGGGAATCAGTCGTGATGACGGAAAACGCCCGGATGGGATGTCTCTCATTCCATGGAGTCACGGAAAACCTTTAGTATGGGACTTCACATGCGTAGATACAGTTGCTGCTTCACATATCGATTCGACATCAAAAATCGCCGGAGGAGCAGCAGATTCAGCTGAAAAAATGAAGTTGAAAAAATATACTACTTTGAGGGACCAATATATTTTTTATCCTGTTGCCATAGAAACTTACGGATCTTTTGGCCCCTATGCTACAGAATTATTCAATCTCATTGGAAGGAAACTCATCCATAAAACTGACGATAATAGAGCTCGATCTTTCCTGATTCAGCGTATTAGTATCGCAATCCAAAGAGGAAATGCATCATCAATATTGGGTTCTATTCCTTCCACTAAGCGATTGGATGAAATTTTTATTCGTCCACAAAAAACTTCGGAGTTCTATACTCAGCTGAATGAAAAAAGCTTCAATTTAACTCAGTCCAGCTCCTTACCCGTCATCTCAAATCCGAATCCTATCCATCGCCAAACTCTTGTCAGAGACGATGATTGCTACCTCCGACCCCTCAGTAATCCGGACAATATTGCCCTAAGATCGCAGTTGCCACCACCTGTTCTGAATTCAGGCCTAAACGGTTTGAAAAATATCGGGAACACTTGTTTCATGAACAGCGTCGTTCAATGCCTGTCTCAAACTGAGTGGATGTTGGAATATTTGAGGAAGAATGCTTACTTCAATGATCTGAACAAGAGGTCATCAAGCAAGAAGGGGACTCTGATAAAAGCATTTGCAGACATCATAGAGAAGCTTTGGTCGAACCATCCTTCGATCCGAGTCGTATGTTTGGACGATCTGAAACTTCGGATTCAAAGGTTCGCACCTCAATTCAGAGGCTCCTCGCAACAGGATGCACAAGAATTTCTTTGTTACCTGCTGGAGGGGCTGCACGAGGACGTCAACTTGGCCGTAGATGAACCGAACCCGAACCCAAAGCCAGTACTTATGGAAATCGACAAATCATTCAGTTTTAATGTCGACGCAATGGATTCGTGGTCGAGATTCTTGATAATGAATAAATCTAAGTTCGTCGATAATTTTGTCGGGCAGTTGAAGTCTACTTTGAGATGCACCTTCTGTGGATATTGTTCGGAGACATTCGACCCATTTTGGGAGTTGTCTTTACCGATACCACAGCGATCAGGCCAACTCAGCTTGTCACACTGCTTGGACTCGTTTACGAGTGTTGAGATTTTAGACGGCGAGACAACTTGCTCGATGTGTAGAGAGAAAAGAAAATGTTTGAAGTCATTATTCATCAACAAGTTCCCAAAAATTTTAGTTATACATCTGAAACGTTTCTCGCAGACTGTAGAGTTCAGTGAGAAACTAAACACATTTGTCGACTTCCCCTTGATCGGCTTGGACATGAGCCCCTATGCAGCTGAAGATATCGTACCATGTCCTTACAATCTGTACGCTATCTCAAACCACAGCGGTACCACCTACAGCGGACACTACACAGCCTACTGCAGACATCTATATACGAAAATTTGGCACGAATACAATGATTCCCTGGTTTCTTTAATTTCGTCGAACTCTCTCGTAAGTGGGGATGCTTATATTCTTTTTTACCAACAAGAGGCTCACCCCAAATTCGAACAACGTGATGTTGACTCTGTGAAGAGCTACTGCTCCGTAGCTGATCCGGATAGCACTCTTCGTACTGTCCACTATTCCGATGATAACCACGACATGTTCAACACAGTCGTGGAGAAGCATGAAACTCCAGTTCACCTAGCTCCAGCTGCACACTCTGACCCAGTAGATATTGTATACTCTGGTCCAGTACTGAATGTATACTCTGCCCCAGTACAGAAGGTATATTCTGCCCCACTTGCACATGCTTGCTCCAGTACGTGCAGCCCACCCACTAAACATTGTAATTTACAACAATTTGCAGCAAGTATGATAGTCTTTTACAATTGAAATCTTTCTTCGCGAGTTAAATGAGAATTTACTGTAAATTTGGTTATTTGCAACTTCCATTCGAAAATTGCCTGTAAGATGATTTTTAGAAAGTTTTCAAAAATGAGCTTATTGTAACTTGAAAAAAATGAACTTACCACCACCTCGATATGAGAGTTGGCGTTAAACTTTCAGTATGTAACTTCACTAGTGAAAGTTTATAGTAAAATCATTTTTAACAATTTACCACAAGTAACACTCTACAAATTTATCATAAGTTTCCATTTAGCTTATATGTATCACGTGATACAATTCGGATGCATGCGCAAGCGCAATAATTGTCTCTTTGTTCTCCTTCTTCACCTCTCTGCCATCTTGTTTTGTCTTTGCCAGTGAGTTGTGATGAGTTTTGGTGTTGGTGCGCTGTGTGATTATTTCTTATTTTCTTAACAAATTACCTATCGAATGTTCGGAATTCAATAACCCTTCTAAAGAAGATCATAGTTAAGCAGAAATGGCGGTAAGTGAATCATATTTCATTATCTTAATCATCGTGACTCTTTCATGAACCACAAATAATTTAAGACTTGATACAGGTGGAAGAAAAATTGTGAAATATCAATAGACGTAATTACGATATATGATTATAACCGTCATGGAAACTTTTCCTATGAATATTTTCATCGTGCTTCCTTCTAACCAACCATTATAACACAATTTTGTAAACAAACATCTCAGATATAGGTACCTAACCTGTAAATGCTAAGCAGAGATTGTCAAAAATGTTTCAACATTCATGATGCTCTTTTGAGTCTTTTGTTTTCATTTTCTACCTCCATGTTTTTGATGGTAGGTATAGGCACATAATAATATTAAGGTTTGTTAATCTGTGGTATAGGTATTCATATTTAATATTACTGACTTTATAAAAGCTTGTTTCAAATACCTACCTCTACTTATCTCGAAAACCGTGAGGTTTTTACTGAGGTCAAGTTGTTGTTTTCTGATAGGTTATAGGAACTTGTCTATTATGACCCAAGCATGGTTTACTGGATACTCTATATATACAGGGTGGACCATTTTAATCTATTATGGATATAATAGTTCTTTCCGGAAGCCGCTAACAAAAAAATGGCTTTGACAAAAGTTGAAGGGTTCAATGGGGGCCAAAGAATGGCCCTACTCACAACCCACCTCAGGGCACCCATATGGCCCTGGGATATGAATTTTTTTTCCATGGGAACCGAGATGGGAACCCAATTTTTTCACAACGGATTCTTGTTCTACGGAGAAAATAAAATAAAATGTTTAACAAATTTTTATTTGCGCCCCTTAAAGGGCCCCAAATTTCTAATTTTGGTATTTGAGTTGGAGAAAACAAAGAATCTTACTTCATTCATGTAATTCGTTAACCAGATTAAGGGTTTGCTTAAAAACATAAAGTAGTGCCAAAGTAGATTAGCAGGAAGGCCTAATTTTCTCCAACTCATATAGGTACCAAAATTAGAAATTTCACCGTAAACAAGAATCCGTTGTGAAAAAGAAGGGTTCCCATTGAAAAAAAAAAATTCATCTCCGTATGCGGACCTGGGGGGGGGGGGTTGTGAGTAGATCTATTATTTGGTTTCCATTGAACTCTTCAACTTTTGTGGAAACCATTTATTAGTTAGCGGCTTCCGGAAAGAACTATATTATCCATAATAGATTAAAATGGTCCACCCTGTGTATGAATATAACAATTCTGAAACATTGAGAAAAAAATAGGTAATTTTTTTCACAATCATTCCAGCTGATATCTATATTTATTTCTTTTCAGAATCTGTTCGTGCATCATATCCCAACATGGATGATAGCTTTTTGAGAAGATAGTGATGATTTGATTCCATTATGCTAAAACGAGATTTATTAGAAAAATTTACAACTGAAAAAGCCTTTATCCTCCATACTCATAAAACTAATGTTTTAGTTTCTACTAGAATTTTTAATAATTTTTTATGAATAATCGTTATTTTTATTTGTAAAGATGATATAAAATTGAATAAAAATATATCAAAAAATGTATTGCTTCAATAGTGGTATTATCATCTCTTATCTTGAATTGTATTAATTTCGTTCTAATAATATGATTGGTAGAAACAATTATTTGCATGTGGAAATACTTTTGATACTGACAAAAGCCCGTGTATAATGTCATCAAATTTGATCAAATCATTTGATATAATGCCATATTCTTCAATTCATCCGAATGGAACATTGTCGAATGTTTTTCAAGAATGAGATGAAAATGGCGTCACGTCAAACAAACTTGATGAAATTGTTGGCCTTTTTTATCAGTATCAAAAATATTTTCAAATTTTGCACCAGCCTACCAAAGTGTAATTTCAATGCAAATTCAGAATTAGCTCTTCTATAACTCATTATCCACTCGCCCTGATTTTGTCGTAAGTATTACTGGTATTTACAACACCATATAATACAATTAACCTGCGAGTTTACCATCAGCTCAAGATACAATTTTCGTAAAAATTGCATGGAGTTCTCAAGTGACAGCTATAATTTTTTGCAAGTTTACTGCAAATTATCTGAGAATTCGCAAAATAATCATTTAGAGTAAACTCACTGGAACTTCGGTATGAGCTGACATTCAATTTTCTGACAACTTCCATCATGTAAGTTTCCATTGTGAATTCCGTAGGAGGAAGATGCCATCTCTGAGTTAACTTGCTGCAAATTGAATGTGTAATTTACACTCGCAAAAATGTACTTGCTGGAAATTTGCAGTAAATTGAAATTGTTTAGTGGGCAGTATGTGCACGCTGCCCCAGTCGTTCTTTCTGCCCCAGCTCACTTGTGGAGTGAATGAAGTGGAAAACCATTATTTATTTATTATGTTATGTTCATATGTTTATTCAATTTGGAATATATTTGTTAGATATTAAAAAAAAAAAACACTAAGAATAGAAAATTCATCAAAGATTTCGCCAAATTTACGAAACCTTTGACAAAATGCTTGAAAGAAGACGCGCATATTGATATAAAAAATTCAGAGTACGTAAAATGTTTTGAAATATGTGAAAACTTGCACATCAATGAACCAATTCTTCAATACCCGGAATGTTGCGATAGGAGCAGTTTTGTCTCTGGGTAAAGTCGGATTAGACCTGCCAATAGCATACGCTAGCAGAACACTGAACGAATCCGAGCAAAACTACTCTACTATAGAAAAAGAATTGTTAGCGATAGTATGGGCTGGTATTTCAGGCCATACTTATTCGAAAGACAATTTGAAATCGTTTGTGACCACAAACCGTTGCTTTGGTTGTTTTCACATGAAGAACCTAATTCCAAATCACTACACTGAGAAAAACTGGATATTAAAAATATCTACCAGCTCTGATTGTGATAACCATTATAAAGAAATCTCCTATTCCTGATCACTTTATTATTACAACAGTATTCTCTCCATTCTGTAAATATAAAAATCGCTTTCTTAAACCATTTTTAATACCCTCGAATGCACATTTGCTACCATCGTAACGCAGGTGTGTTATGACATTATGAGAATTTTATAAATTCTAGTCTATTTAGATTTTTTATTGACATAGCTCGTTTCGTGAATTATGCTTATTGGTGAATTCAGATAATGTTCGTCCCAATAATCATCGCTGTTTGGGTTTCTAGCATTGTACGTTGACGAATAACTATAGCAATTCACATGTATGACGGTTATTAGACAATCATTCGACAATCGTAATTCGGCTCATTTCGCTCTAATTTTTCATTAGTTTTGGGGTTGACAAAGCTACAGGTCGCGTTCATTTTCACTCCTGTTTCTCGGTCATGGGTGCATGTCTTCAATTATTGTGCAATGGTTTCTTTCGTCCGAATCGATAGAGTCGTGTCTTGTGGGTGAATGTGTGTGATGTAGCAAAATTCTGTTTTATTGCTGGCTGTGAACCGAGCTGTGGAATACACCGTGCATTGCATTACTACAATGAAAAAAGTATTCTCCATACCCAATTTTACGGCCTAAAATTGGTTTAAAATGATCGATGAGATTCTGAATGAAAATATCTGGGTTTCTGTGAGGAAGTTTTATTGACAATTCTCATCATAACTCCGAAGAAAGAGTGAATAAAAGTATTCAACTTCTCATTTCTTAATAAATTCGTCAGTATATGCATATAAATGATATTCCTCCGAAAAAATCGATGAGTAATGTCAAAAAAACTTCCAGAGAAACCCAGATATTTCAATTCAGACTAATCGTATTTTTTGTTTTTTGAAAAAAATAACTTTGGATCATGAAAAGTAAGTGTGGATAGAATATTTATTTCCATTGCAGTAATTCAAAGCACGATTCCATAATGCATATCATCGAACAATGATGATTAGATAACCTAATTACCACTGTTTGATGAATATACTAGAGTAGAAAAATATTGGGATAACTGTTGAAAATGAGCTATATTACAATAGCATGTCAAAGTGTCAGGTTTCATTCAGATATCAGATAACTATAATGCAATGAGACGAATTACTGCGTTACCTCAAGATGGTTGTGCCAGTAATGAAAACAGGCTGTTTTATGATGACAGTCGAATAATCACTGTAGAGTGGATTAGTTACTGTAACATTTATTTAGGAATAATTTCTATTCGACACTCTGTGTTATCATAGAAACTAGAACGAGTGGTAGTTATTCAGCGGCGGTGTTTATACAAGTTTGCAAATTGAATATGCTGCCATAATAACAAGCTCCCTGAAAATTCACTTCATCTATGGTAGCAAATGAACACATCTGTCCCCTATTTATTGCAGATATCGTAATAACGGTTATCAGATTTCCAATTATGATAACTCAAGTTTTCTCTCAGTGTATGATGGCG